TATACGCTCTACACATCTCCTGATCCCCTATACACTCTACACACCTCCTGATCCCCTATACACTCTACACACCTCCTGATCCCCTATACACGCTCTACACACCTCCTGATCCCCATACACGCTCTACACACCTCCTGATCCCCTATACACGCTACACACCTCTACACACCTCCTGATCCCCTATACACGCTCTACACACCTCCTGATCCCCTATACGCTCTACACACCTCCTGATCCCCTATACACGGTCTACACACCTCCTGATCCCCTATACACTCTACACACCTCCTGATCCCCTATACACGCTCTACACACCTCCTGATCCCCTATACACTCTACACACCTCCTGATCCCCTATACACACTCTACACACCTCCTGATCCCCTATACACTCTACAGACCTCCTGATCCCCTATACACGCTTTACACACCTCCTGATCCCCTATACACGCTCTACACATCTCCTGATCCCCTGTACGTTCTACACACCTCCTGATCCCCTATACACGCTCTACACATCTCCTGATCCCCTATACGTTCTACACACCTCCTGATCCCCTATACACGCTCTACACACCTCCTGATCCCCTATATGCTCTACACACCTCCTGATCCCCTATACACGCTCTACACATCTCCTGATCCCCTATACGCTCTACACACCTCCTGATCCCCTATACGCTCTACACACCTCCTGATCCCCTATACACACTCTACACACCTCCTGATCCCCTATATGCTCTACACATCTCCTGATCCTCTATACGCTCTACACACCTCCTGATCCCCTATACACGCTCTACACACCTCCTGATCCCCTACACGCTTTACACACCTCCTGATCCCCTATACGCTCTACACACCTCCTGATCCCCTACACGCTCTACACACCTCCTGATCCCCTACACGCTCTACACACCTCCTGATCCCCTATACACGCTCTACACACCTCCTGATCCCCTACACGCTCTACACACCTCCTGATCCCCTATACGCTCTACACACCTCCTGATCCCCTATACACTCTACACACCTCCTGATCCCCTATACACTCTCTACACACCTCCTGATCCCCTATATGCTCTACACACCTCCTGATCCCCTATACGCTCTACACACCTCCTGATCCCCTACACGCTCTACACACCTCCTGATCCCCTATACACGCTCTACACACCTCCTGATCCCCTATACGCTCTACACACCTCCTGATCCCCTACACGCTCTACACACCTCCTGATCCCCTACACGCTCTACACACTATACGCTCTACACACCTCCTGATCCCCTATACGCTCTACACACCTCCTGATCCCCTATACACACTCTACACACCTCCTGATCCCCTATATGCTCTACACATCTCCTGATCCTCTATACGCTCTACACACCTCCTGATCCCCTATACACGCTCTACACACCTCCTGATCCCCTACACGCTTTACACACCTCCTGATCCCCTATACGCTCTACACACCTCCTGATCCCCTACACGCTCTACACACCTCCTGATTCCCTACACGCTCTACACACCTCCTGATCCCCTATACACGCTCTACACACCTCCTGATCCCCTACACGCTCTACACACCTCCTGATCCCCTATACGCTCTACACACCTCCTGATCCCCTATACACTCTACACACCTCCTGATCCCCTATACACTCTCTACACACCTCCTGATCCCCTATATGCTCTACACACCTCCTGATCCCCTATACGCTCTACACACCTCCTGATCCCCTACACGCTCTACACACCTCCTGATCCCCTATACACGCTCTACACACCTCCTGATCCCCTATACGCTCTACACACCTCCTGATCCCCTACACGCTCTACACACCTCCTGATCCCCTCCACGCTCTACACACCTCCTGATCCCCACGCTCTACACACCTCCTGATCCCCTACACGCTCTACACACCTCCTGATCCCCTACACGCTCTACACACATCCTGATCCCCTACACGCTCTACACACCTCCTGATCCCCTACACGCTCTACACACCTCCTGATCCCCTATACGCTCTACACACCTCCTGATCCCCTATACGCTCTACACACCTCCTGATCCCCTATACACGCTCTACACACCTCCTGATCCCCTACACGCTCTACACACCTCCTGATCCCCTATACGCTCTACACACCTCCTGATCCCCTATACACTCTACACACCTCCTGATCCCCTATACACTCTCTACACACCTCCTGATCCCCTATATGCTCTACACACCTCCTGATCCCCTATACGCTCTACACACCTCCTGATCCCCTATACACGCTCTACACACCTCCTGATCCCCTATACGCTCTACACACCTCCTGATCCCCTACACGCTCTACACACCTCCTGATCCCCTCCACGCTCTTCACACCTCCTGATCCCCACGCTCTACACACCTCCTGATCCCCTACACGCTCTACACACCTCCTGATCCCCTACACGCTCTACACACCTCCTGATCCCCTACACGCTCTACACACCTCCTGATCCCCTACACGCTCTACACACCTCCTGATCCCCTATACGCTCTACACACCTCCTGATCCCCTATACGCTCTACACACCTCCTGATCCCCTATACGCTCTACACACCTCCTGATCCCCTATACACGCTCTACACACCTCCTGATCCCCAATACGCTCTACACACCTCCTGATCCCCTACACGCTCTACACACCTCCTGATCCCCTATACACGCTCTACACACCTCCTGATCCCCTATATGCTCTACACACCTCCTGATCCCCTATACACGCTCTACACACCTCCTGATCCCCTATATGCTCTACACACCTCCTGATCCCCTATACACGCTCTACACACCTCCTGATCCCCTATACACGCTCTACACACCTCCTGATCCCCTATATGCTCTACACACCTCCTGATCCCCTATACACACTCTACACACCTCCTGATCCCCTATACACACCTCTACACACCTCCTGATCCCCTATACACGCTCTACACATCTCCTGATCCCCTATACGCTCTACACACCTCCTGATCCCCTATATGCTCTGCACATCTCCTGATCCCCTATACACTGTACATGGGGCTCAGGGGCTGAAACCACACAGAACAAGCTTTACAGTCAAGTCACCTTCATTTATATTGCGCTTTTAACAGTATAGATTGTTTCAAAGCAGCTTTACAGTGATAATTGGGAATTACCTTAATGCGCTCCGGCCGCTCATTTACACAACAACAGTGTTTGGTGCTCGAGAACGCAAACCTTGAAATAGGTTCCAAGGTGCAAGCCTTGAAAATTTTGAAAAACCTTATCATCTCAGTGTAAGCTTCAAAAATGCAAACATGTGTAAACGCTGACGGCGCGCACATGCGTATTAGTAGGCGTGTAGTCTTTCTTTACAAATTGACCTCAACAAATGACTTGTCTGGCCTTAAAAATTCATAATACAGATTTTTTTATTGCTTCTGCCTATTCATGTGAACTTGAATAATTTTGACAAGGTTTTATCTGCAATAATCAGATAATACATGTAGAAAAAAAATTCCCTCAGCCACTGGCATCATTATTGAAGATCCCGGTTCTCTTGATCTCGGACAAACTGGATATTCTGGAAAGTGTGATTTTATAGACTTGGAAAAGAATAAAATCTCAAGTCATTCTTTATTATGCAAATAATTTATGGTAACACTTTATTTTACAGTGTGCTTGTTACACATGTTACATGAACTTTCTATAGTAATAACTGTAAATTGTGCATAATTACATGCAACTAACCCTAAACCTATAGTACATGTGGTTCATTAACATTACTCAGTACTTACATGTATAATTACACTGTAACAAGGACATCTTTATTTAATATAAGCTTTTATACAAATCTATATAAACTACAAATTGCTAGTTGTTAGTCAAAAACAGTGTTATTATAGTTAACTAAAACTGAAATAATAAAGAAGCATTCTTGTTTCTTGAAATAAAATAAAATATAAAAAAATATGATGTTCACAGAAACTGGGCAACATATTAACAAATAAATCAATAAAATAATGATAAATAATTATTAAAATGATTAAGTTATAAAAACCCCAATAACTGAAAGTTCTTCATGGTTTACATTTCTTATTACAAATTAATTTACATGACTTTAATTTTTTTTTAGTATGTTTGAGATACTATTCTAGTTTTGTTTTGTTTTTTGTTTTTTTTGCATTTTGAATTATTATTATTATTTTATTTTTTAAGTTTTAGTAATTTTCCAGTGTTTTTGTCATTTTTATTAGTTATTGTTTAGATCAAGCTTGAGATCTTGACGGGCCTTCAGAAATGGTCTTTGACACTTGAGCGCTACATGACCAGCACTAGTTAGTGAGCATCATGACGTGCTCCTCACGGGTTCCTCCCTCACTAGTGTTATAAAGCATCCCATAATGCACCTCATGACTGGAGGAAAAGAGTTTGCATTGGTGTTTATTAAGCACCGTCATTATTCTTTTTTCACTTGGATGATAAATGATCAAACCAAAAGTACTTGTTCATTGTTGTCCTGTGAGGATCAGTTTTCTGCTGAATCCTGTGTTCAAATCTGCCTCAGACCTGCATTTTACTCACTGTTTTGCATAAAAGCAAAAGATGTGAGACAGGTGGCCGCTTGAATCGCCCTGAAACATCAGGACGATCAGTATATATATATACGGTATATGTGTGTGTGTGTGTGTGTGTTCATACTCAGCTCAGGAGATGATTATTATAATGAGAATATTTCAGTATCCTATAAAGCTCTTGAAAGCCCTTGACACCACAGCCTAAATAATCGAACAGGACATCTTCATATCTTCACATCTTCACCCAAACACATCCTACAGAGTCTAGGCCAATGCAAATATAAATGCAAACACAGATGCAAACAAGTACCAGACGAAAAATTCAACAATACGTCTTTCATGCAGTTATTGAAATGGGCTGTAGCACAGATGTCCTCCTCTCAGTCTCTCTGTCCCGTGTGTGTGTTTTCCAGATGGGAGACGGCGCTCGACGGTCCATGATGGGCAGCGGCTCCGAGCTTCTCTCCTACTACCATGAGGACGCCAAGACCCTGTACGAGGTGTTCCAGCGAGGCCTTCACATCACGGGTGAGAATCAGTTCATGTGTTCAACACACACCTGCACATCACGGGTGAGAATCAGTTCATGTGTTCAACACACACCTGCACATCACGGGTGAGAATCAGTTCATGTGTTCAACACACACCTGCACATCACGGGGGAGAATCAGTTCATGTGTTCAACACACACCTGCACATCACGGGTGAGAATCAGTTCATGTGTTCAACACACACCTGCACATCACGGGGGAGAATCAGTTCATGTGTTCAACACACACCTGCACATCACGGGTGAGAATCAGTTCATGTGTTCAACACACACCTGCACATCACAAGTGAGAATCAGTTCATATGTTCAACACACACCTGCACATCACGGGGGAGAATCAGTTCATATGTTCAACACACACCTGCACATCACGGGTGAGAATCAGTTCATATGTTCAACACACACCTGCACATCACAGGTGAGAATCAGTTCATATGTTCAACACACACCTGCACATCACGGGTGAGAATCAGTTCATATGTTCAACACACACCTGCACATCACGGGTGAGAATCAGTTCATATGTTCAACACACACCTGCACATCACGGGTGAGAATCAGTTCAAATGTTCAACACACACCTGCACATCACGGGTGAGAATCAGTTCATATGTTCAACACACACCTGCACATCACGGGTGAGAATCAGTTCATATGTTCAACACACACCTGCACATCACGGGTGAGAATCAGTTCAAATGTTCAACACACACCTGCACATCACGGGTGAGAATCAGTTCATGTGTTCAACACACACCTGCACATCACGGGTGAGAATCAGTTCATATGTTCAACACACACCTGCACATCACGGGTGAGAATCAGTTCAAATGTTCAACACACACCTGCACATCACGGGTGAGAATCAGTTCATATGTTCAACACACACCTGCACATCACGGGGGAGAATCAGTTCATATGTTCAACACACACCTGCACATCACGGGGGAGAATCAGTTCATATGTTCAACACACACCTGCACATCACGGGGGAGAATCAGTTCATACGTTTAACACACACCTGCACATCACGGGTGAGAATCAGTTCATATGTTCAACACACACCTGCACATCACGGGTGAGAATCAGTTCATACGTTCAACACACACCTGCACATCACGGGTGAGAATCAGTTCATGTGTTCAACACACACCTGCACATCACGGGTGAGAATCAGTTCAAATGTTCAACACACACCTGCACATCACGGGTGAGAATCAGTTCATATGTTCAACACACACCTGCACATCACGGGGGAGAATCAGTTCATATGTTCAACACACACCTGCACATCACGGGTGAGAATCAGTTCATATGTTCAACACACATCATGTTCACTGGATTCAAAAACACTCAACCCAGAGAGGCTCACCACCGCACACCCTGAATCTGATTCATGCAAATCATGTTCAATCACACAGTGCCTCATCCGTCAATACAGTGTTCACTTGTAGAATATCGTCTGACCCACAAAATAAGCTCAATAGAAAACACTTGTAATATGAATTTCTACAGCTCAGACTAGTTTTAAATAGTAATTTTGGTCGCATCTGAAATGGGTCATACCAGTAACATTACACACTAAAAAACTCATCTTGTTCAAGGATTATATATATACAGCTCTGGAAAAAATTAAGAGACCACTGCAAATGTTTCTTAAATCAGCATCTCTACATGTATGGCAGCCATTCCAGTGTCTGTTAAATCCCAACACAGGCACACCTCATTCTACTGAACCAAATCTTATTTAATGAGGAAAAGTATAAAAACCACTGCTGTGTTCAGCACTCTCCTCTCGCAATAGGACCAGCTGAATGGCAGAAACAGTGCTAGAAGCACCTCAAAAGTAATTGGAATCGAAAAATAACTATTGACCATGCCAAAAGAGTTGAAAAGGAAAGTTTTGAGTGAGGAAAAGAAGGGTTCAATTCTGGATTTACTGACAGAGGGATACAGTGAGAGTCGGGTCGCTTCCATCCTTAAAATTTCAAAGACGGCGGTTCATAAGAACAAGGTCAAGCAGCAGACATTGGGGACAGCACAGCTACAGACCGGCAGAGGGCGAAACCGACTCTCCACCGACCGGGATGACCGCCAACTCATTCGAATGTCACTCAACAACGTAGGATGACATCAAGTGACGTACAAACAGAATAGCAGATGGCAGCTGGGGTGAAGAGCATGGCGAGGACGGGTCGAGGCTCCTAGGGCTGCAGTCGTGCAAAGCTGGAGAAAAGCCCTTCATCACTGAGAAGCAAGAAGAGCCAGGCTGAGGTTTGCAAAAGACCATAAGGACTGTAGATCATTGGAGTACGGTCATCTTCTCTGTGAGTCCAGTTTTCAGCTTTGTCCAACACCTGGTAGTCTAATGGTTAGGCGGAGACCTGCAGAGGCCTACAAGCCACAGTGTCTCGCACACACTGTGAACGTTGGTGGAGGATCGGTGATGATCTGGGGGTGCTTTAGCGAGGCTGCAACCGGGCAGATTTGTCTTTGTGAAGGACGCATGAACCACGTACAAGGTTGTCCTGGAAGAAAAGACCACCAGATCAAGACCCTGTCATGGCCAGCCCAACCTCCAGACCTGAACCCCACTGAAGACCTCTGGGATGTGATCAACCTCCAGACCTGAACCCACTGAAGACCTCTGTGATGTGATCAACCTCCAGACCTGAACCCACTGAAGACCTCTGGGATGTGATCGACCTCCAGACATGAACCTACTGAAGACCTCTGGGATGTGATCGACCTCCAGACCTGAACCCACTGAAGACCTCTGGGATGTGATCGACCTCCAGACCTGAACCCACTGAAGACCTCTGGGATGTGATCAACCTCCAGACCTGAACCCACTGAAGACCTCTGGGATGTGATCAACCTCTAGACCTGAACCCACTAAAGACCTCTGGGATGTGATCAACCTCCAGACCTGAACCCACTGAAGACCTCTAGGATGTGATCAACCTCCAGACCTGAACTCACTGAAGACCTCTGGGATGTGATCAACCTCTAGACCTGAACCCACTGAAGACCTCTGGGATGTGATCAATCTCCAGACCTGAACCCCACTGAAGACCTCTGGGATGTGATCAACCTCTAGACCTGAACCCACTGAAGACCTCTGGGATGTGATCAATCTCCAGACCTGAACCCCACTGAAGACCTCTGGGATGTGATCAATCTCCAGACCTGAACCCCACTGAAGACCTCTGCGATGTGATCGACCTCCAGACCTGAACCCACTGAAGACCTCTGGGATGTGATCAACCTCCAGACCTGAACCCACTGAAGACCTCTGGGAATTGATCAACCCCCAGACCTGAACCCACTGAAGACCTCTGGGATGTGATAGACCTCCAGACCTGAACCCACTGAAGACCTCTGGGATGTGATCAACCTCTAGACCTGAACCCACTGAAGACCTCTGGGATGTGATAGACCTCCAGACCTGAACCCACTGAAGACCTCTGGGATGTGATCGACCTCCAGACCTGAACCCACTGAAGACCTCTGGGATGTGATCGACCTCCAGACCTGAACCCACTGAAGACCTCTGGGATGTGATCAACCTCCAGACCTGAACCCCACTGAAGACCTCTGGGATGTGATCAACCTCCAGACCTGAACCCCACTGAAGACCTCTGCGATGTGATCGACCTCCAGACCTGAACCCACTGAAGACCTCTGCGATGTGATCGACCTCCAGACATGAACCTACTGAAGACCTCTGGGATGTGATCAACCTCCAGACCTGAACCCACTGAAGACCTCTGCGATGTGATCGACCTCCAGACCTGAACCCACTGAAGACCTCTGGGATGTGATCGACCTCCAGACCTGAACCCACTGAAGACCTCTGGGATGTGATCAACCTCCAGACCTGAACCCCACTGAAGACCTCTGCGATGTGATCGACCTCCAGACCTGAACCCACTGAAGACCTCTGCGATGTGATCGACCTCCAGACATGAACCTACTGAAGACCTCTGGGATGTGATCAACCTCCAGACCTGAACCCACTGAAGACCTCTAGGATGTGATCAACCTCCAGACCTGAACCCACTGAAGACCTCTAGGATGTGATCAATCTCCAGACCTGAACCCACTGAAGACCTCTGGGATGTGATCAACCTCCAGACCTGAACCCACTGAAGACCTCTGGGATGTGATCAACCTCCAGACCTGAACCCACTGAAGACCTCTGGGATGTGATCAACCTCCAGACCTGAACCCACTGAAGACCTCTAGGATGTGATCAATCTTCAGACCTGAACCCACTGAAGACCTCTGGGATGTGATCAACCTCCAGACCTGAACCCACTGAAGACCTCTGGGATGTGATCAACCTCCAGACCTGAACCCACTGAAGACCTCTGGGATGTGATCAACCTCCAGACCTGAACTCACTGTAGACCTCTAGGATGTGATCAATCTCCAGACCTGAACCCACTGAAGACCTCTGGGATGTGATCAACCTCCAGACCTGAACCCACTGAAGACCTCTGGGATGTGATCAACCTCCAGACCTGAACCCAATGAAGACCTCTGGGATGTGATCGACCTCCAGACCTGAACCCCACTGAAGACCTCTGGGATGTGATCAACCTCCAGACCTGAACCCACTGAAGACCTCTAGGATGTGATCAACCTCCAGACCTGAACCTACTGAAGAGCTCTAGGATGTGATCAATCTCCAGACCTGAACCCACTGAAGACCTCTGGGATGTGATCAACCTCCAGACCTGAACCCACTGAAGACCTCTAGGATGTGATCAATCTTCAGACCTGAACCCACTGAAGACCTCTGGGATGTGATCAACCTCCAGACCTGAACCCACTGAAGACCTCTGGGATGTGATCAACCTCCAGACCTGAACCCACTGAAGACCTCTGGGATGTGATCAACCTCCAGACCTGAACCCACTGAAGACCTCTGGGATGTGATCAACCTCCAGACCTGAACTCACTGTAGACCTCTAGGATGTGATCAATCTCCAGACCTGAACCCACTGAAGACCTCTGGGATGTGATCAACCTCCAGACCTGAACCCACTGAAGACCTCTGGGATGTGATCAACCTCCAGACCTGAACCCACTGAAGACCTCTGGGATGTGATCGACCTCCAGACCTGAACCCCACTGAAGACCTCTGGGATGTGATCAACCTCCAGACCTGAACCCACTGAAGACCTCTAGGATGTGATCAACCTCCAGACCTGAACCCACTGAAGACCTCTAGGATGTGATCAATCTCCAGACCTGAACCCACTGAAGACCTCTGGGATGTGATCAACCTCCAGACCTGAACCCACTGAAGACCTCTGGGATGTGATCAACCTCCAGACCTGAACCCACTGAAGACCTCTGGGATGTGATCAACCTCCAGACCTGAACCCACTGAAGACCTCTAGGATGTGATCAATCTTCAGACCTGAACCCACTGAAGACCTCTGGGATGTGATCGACCTCCAGACCTGAACCCACTGAAGACCTCTGGGATGTGATCAACCTCCAGACCTGAACCCACTGAAGACCTCTAGGATGTGATCAACCTCCAGACCTGAACCCACTGAAGACCTCTAGGATGTGATCAATCTCCAGACCTGAACCCACTGAAGACCTCTGGGATGTGATCAACCTCCAGACCTGAACCCACTGAAGACCTCTGGGATGTGATCAACCTCCAGACCTGAACCCACTGAAGACCTCTGGGATGTGATCAACCTCCAGACCTGAACCCACTGAAGACCTCTAGGATGTGATCAATCTTCAGACCTGAACCCACTGAAGACCTCTGGGATGTGATCAACCTCCAGACCTGAACCCACTGAAGACCTCTGGGATGTGATCAACCTCCAGACCTGAACCCACTGAAGACCTCTGGGATGTGATCAACCTCCAGACCTGAACTCACTGTAGACCTCTAGGATGTGATCAATCTTCAGACCTGAACCCACTGAAGACCTCTGGGATGTGATCAACCTCCAGACCTGAACCCACTGAAGACCTCTGGGATGTGATCAACCTCCAGACCTGAACCCACTGAAGACCTCTAGGATGTGATCAATCTTCAGACCTGAACCCACTGAAGACCTCTGGGATGTGATCAACCTCCAGACCTGAACCCACTGAAGACCTCTGGGATGTGATCAACCTCCAGACCTGAACCCACTGAAGACCTCTGGGATGTGATCGACCTCCAGACCTGAACCCACTGAAGACCTCTGGGATGTGATCGACCTCCAGACCTGAACCCCACTGAAGACCTCTGGGATGTGATCAACCTCCAGACCTGAACTCACTGAAGACCTCTAGGATGTAATCAAGAGGAAGATGAATGGTCACAAGCCATCAAACAAAGCCGAGCTGCTTTAATTTTTGCAGCAGGAGTGGCATAAAGTCACCCAACATCACGGTGAAGGACTGGTGGAGAGCATGCCGAGACACATGAAAGCTGTGATTGAAAATCAGGGTTATTCCACCAAATATTGATTTCTGAACTCTTCCTAAGTTAAAACATTAGTATTGTGTTGTTTAAAAATGAACATGAACTTATTTTCTTTCCATTATTCGAGGTCTGACTGCATCTTTTTTGTTATTTTGACCAGTTGTCGTTTTCTGCAAATAAGTGCTCTAAATTATTTTATTTGGAATTTGGGAGAAATGTTGTCAGTAATTTATTGAATAAAACAAAAATGTTAATTTTACCCAAACACATACCTCTAGATAGTAAAACGAGAGAAACTGATAATTTTGCAGTGGTCTTTTTTTTTCTTCCAGACCTGTATATAGAAACCACTGTTGAACAGAGAATAAAGGGTCGTATGGGTAACACTTTATTATAGTTAATGCATTAATTAACAATGAGCATTTCTGACAGTATTTATTAAGCTTTGTTAGCGTTAGTTAATAAAAATACAACTGTTTATTGTTAGTTCATGTTTGCTCAGGTCCATTAAACAATATTAATAGATGCAACTTTTGATCATGTATTACTAAATGTTGAGATTAACATGAACTAAGATGAATAATGCTTTAGAGGTATGGATCATGGTTAGCTGATGTTGTGAGCGTCGTGTTTGAGATGATCTGATCTGATGTTGTTCTCTCTCTCACTTCTGATGTTCTGAGCAGGTGATGGACCGTTTTTAGGCTCCAGACTCCCCAATCAACCCTACAAATGGCTGTCCTATAAAGAAGTGAGTGTAGGAGTGTTGTGTGGTGTGGGTAAGCGCTGGTCTGATGCGATCTGACCTGTGTGTGTGTGTGTGTGTGTGTCGCAGGTGTTCCGCAGGGCAGAAGACTTGGGCTCGGGTCTGTTGTCTCAGGGATGTCAGCCCAATACGGCTCAGTTCATCGGGGTATTCGCACAGAACAGGCCTGAGGTAAAACACCCCAAAACACCATCCTGCTGAAGCCAGTTAAAGGAGTAGTTCACTTTAAAATGAAAATTAGCTTACTTAGATTTACTCTCCGTCGAGCCATCCTAGGTGTATATGACTTTCTTCTTTCAGACGAATACAATCAGAGCTCAAAAAAATGCTCAGGACATTTATTAATATTACTCTGATTGTGTTTGTCTGAAAGAAGAATGTCATACACACATAGGATGGCTTGAGGGAGAGTAAATCATGGGCTAATTTTCATTTTAAAGTGAATTACTTATTTAATAGCAGGAGACTCATGAAGCGCTTCTTCTTGTCTTTCAGTGGATCATCTCTGAGCTGGCGTGCTACTCGTACTCTATGGTGGTGGTGCCGCTTTACGACACACTCGGACCCGACGCCATCCGCTACATCATCAACACGGGTCAGCTTCACTCATCCTCTTCATCTGCCTGTCTGTGCCACCCCTTCGCCAGCCCCTCATCATCTTCATCTGCCTGTCTGTGCCACCCCTTCGCCATCTCCTCATCCTCTTCATCTTCCTGTCTGTGCCACCCCTCCGCCAGCCCCTCATCCTCTTCATCTTCCTGTCTGTGCCACCCCTCTGCCAGCCCCTCATCCTCTTCATCTGCCTGTCTGTGCCACCCCTCCGCCAGCCCCTCATCCTCTTCATCTGCCTGTCTGTGCCACCCCTCCGCCAGCCCCTCATCCTCTTCATCTGCCTGTCTGTGCCACCCCTTCGCCAGCCCCTCATCATCTTCATCTTCCTGTCTGTGCCACCCCTCCGCCAGCCCCTCATCCTCTTCATCTGCCTGTCTGTGCCACCCCTTCGCCATCTCCTCATCCTCTTCATCTTCCTGTCTGTGCCACCCCTCCGCCAGCCCCTCATCCTCTTCATCTGCCTGTCTGTGCCACCCCTTCGCCAGCCCCTCATCATCTTCATCTGCCTGTCTGTGCCACCCCTCTGCCAGCCCCTCATCCTCTTCATCTGCCTGTCTGTGCCACCCCTCCGCCAGCCCCTCATCCTCTTCATCTGCCTGTCTGTGCCACCCCTCCGCCAGCCCCTCATCCTCTTCATCTGCCTGTCTGTGCCACCCCTTCGCCAGCCCCTCATCATCTTCATCTTCCTGTCTGTGCCACCCCTCCGCCAGCCCCTCATCCTCTTCATCTGCCTGTCTGTGCCACCCCTTCGCCATCTCCTCATCCTCTTCATCTTCCTGTCTGTGCCACCCCTCCGCCAGCCCCTCATCCTCTTCATCTTCCTGTCTGTGCCACCCCTCTGCCAGCCCCTCATCCTCTTCATCTGCCTGTCTGTGCCACCCCTCCGCCAGCCCCTCATCTTCTTCATCTGCCTGTCTGTGCCACCCCTCCGCCAGCCCCTCATCCTCTTCATCTGCCTGTCTGTGCCACCCCTCTGCCAGCCCCTCATCTTCTTCATCTGCCTGTCTGTGCCACCCCTCCGCCAGCCCCTCATCCTCTTCATCTGCCTGTCTGTGCCACCCCTTCGCCAGCCCCTCATCCTCTTCATCTGCCTGTCTGTGCCACCCCTTCGCCAGCCCCTCATCTTCTTCATCTGCCTGTCTGTGCCACCCCTCCGCCAGCCCCTCATCCTCTTCATCTGCCTGTCTGTGCCACCCCTCTGCCAGCCCCTCATCCTCTTCATCTGCCTGTCTGTGCCACCCCTCCGCCAGCCCCTCATCCTCTTCATCTTCCTGTCTGTGCCACCCCTCTGCCAGCCCCTCATCCTCTTCATCTGCCTGTCTGTGCCACCCCTCCGCCAGCCCCTCATCTTCTTCATCTGCCTGTCTGTGCCACCCCTCCGCCAGCCCCTCATCCTCTTCATCTGCCTGTCTGTGCCACCCCTCTGCCAGCCCCTCATCTTCTTCATCTGCCTGTCTGTGCCACCCCTCCGCCAGCCCCTCATCCTCTTCATCTGCCTGTCTGTGCCACCCCTTCGCCAGCCCCTCATCCTCTTCATCTGCCTGTCTGTGCCACCCCTTCGCCAGCCCCTCATCTTCTTCATCTGCCTGTCTGTGCCACCCCTCCGCCAGCCCCTCATCCTCTTCATCTGCCTGTCTGTGCCACCCCTCTGCCAGCCCCTCATCCTCTTCATCTGCCTGTCTGTGCCACCCCTTCGCCAGCCCCTCATCATCTTCATCTTCCTGTCTGTGCCACCCCTTCGCCAGCCCCTCATCCTCTTCATCTGCCTGTCTGTGCCACCCCTTCGCCAGCCCCTCATCTTCTTCATCTGCCTGTCTGTGCCACCCCTCCGCCAGCCCCTCATCCTCTTCATCTGCCTGTCTGTGCCACCCCTCCGCCAGCCCCTCATCCTCTTCATCTGCCTGTCTGTGCCACCCCTCCGCCAGCCCCTCATCCTCTTCATCTGCCTGTCTGTGCCACCCCTCCGCCAGCCCCTCATCATCTTCATCTGCCTGTCTGTGCCACCCCTCCGCCAGCCCCTCATCATCTTCATCTTCCTGTCTGTGCCACCCCTCTGCCAGCCCCTCATCCTCTTCATCTGCCTGTCTGTGCCACCCCTCCGCCAGCCCCTCATCCTCTTCATCTGCCTGTCTGTGCCACCCCTCCGCCAGCCCCTCATCCTCTTCATCTGCCTGTCTGTGCCACCCCTCTGCCAGCCCCTCATCCTCTTCATCTGCCTGTCTGTGCCACCCCTCCGCCAGCCCCTCATCCTCTTCATCTGCCTGTCTGTGCCACCCCTCCGCCAGCCCCTCATCCTCTTCATCTGCCTGTCTGTGCCACCCCTCCGCCAGCCCCTCATCCTCTTCATCTGCCTGTCTGTGCCACCCCTCTGCCAGCCCCTCATCATCTTCATCTGCCTGTCTGTGCCACCCCTCCGCCAGCCCCTCATCATCTTCATCTGCCTGTCTGTGCCACCCCTCTGCCAGCCCCTCATCCTCTTCATCTTCCTGTCTGTGCCACCCCTCCGCCAGCCCCTCATCCTCTTCATCTTCTCTTTACGGCGCGAGGACGCATCTACGGGGAGGGGGCGTTCTGTCACATTCTCATTAGTTTGGACTCGTTATGTTTTGTCATCACCTGCCTTCGTCACTCACTTGTTGTCACGGACACTAATTACATTCCGCTGCGCACTCATCAGTCACCATCATTAACACCTGTATATATGTTCAGTTCTGTTTGAGTTCAGTGTCCGGTGTTGTCTATGTTTAGTGTGTGTGTTGCTATCCATTTGCCTTTCTGTTGGATCTGTTGTTAATAAACCTTCGTATTGGATATTATGTCTTCCTCATCTGTCTGCCAGCAACCATCCGTGACAAAAGCTTCAATGCCAATGAAGAACCTTTATTTTTAAAAGGGCTCTTTCCGTCTTTAACCGTGAAGTTTTTGTTTTCCAGCTGAAATCGCCACAGTAATCTGTGATAAACCAGAGAAAGCCACAGTGCTTCTGGGAAATGTCCAGAGAAGAGAGACGCCCGGTCTGAAGATGATCATCCTCATGGATGCGTTTGAAGCTCAGCTGGTGGAAGAAGGACAGAAGTGTGGCGTTCACATCCAGGCGCTGAAAGATGTGGAGGTGAGAAGGACTTCATCACGCTTTTACCTTTCAGTTTAAACCAGTGCTTCTCAACCACAAGTCACCATCACAATCATCCCAGATAGCACACGTACGTCTGCAAGATGTCTGTTAAAGATCACTTCATCTGGAAAGCATCTGCTGTTTACCAACATCTGATAGACATCTTTATGATGTCAGTTTAACATACATTCTAAATCATTACATCTTAAAGACATCTTCTAAACGTCTATTTGACATCTAACAGGAAATGTCCTATAGATGTATTGCAGATGAGAAAACACTCTAAATAATACGTCTTCCAGATGTAAACACGCACATCAAATAGACGTCTCCGTGATGTACGTGTGCTATCAGGGATATTTCTTATTTAAATAGCATTTAACTACCATTAATATTTCAGAACCACCTTCTCTTGGACAACCCGGATATGCTAAACGAGGGCATTTTAAAAGTGTAAATAACATTTACAAACATAAATAATATTTTTGTGTAGAAATTGCTATTTGTGAGTTAAAATAATTACAACTAGAAAAGTCATATAAATTCATTGGTAATGTAAACCATGAAGACCATTATCATTATTTAATTTAATTATTTTAATATATTGCCACTCCTTGTTTCTATAAATAAATAAAAAAGAAATTTAACAGCTTTGTCATAATAGCAGAAGTAACAAACATTTCTTCAAAATATTATCCTTTACAGTCGTAGCCAAAAGGATTGAGACCCACTGGTTTAGAGTGATTTATTGGCAAAGGGATTGTTCGACCAAAATTAAGATTCTGAATATTTGAAGAATATCCTGTCTGCTTTTTCCCATATGATGGAAGTGAATGAGGACCGATGCAGTCGTCCATGAACGATTGAGCGATTCCTTCATGAACGCACCATAGAGAGGCCAGACACATGTCAAGAAATGACTGCAACTTTCACTGACTACTGTTATGATCGTTTTATGGCAGTCATTTTGAAGGTTGAGTCCTCATTCCGTTTCATCATATTTCTTTTAGTAACTGGTATGAAATATATCTGTTGGCAGTGTTGGGGGTAGTAACGCATTACAAGTAACGCAAGTTATGTATTCAGATAACTTTTTTCAAGTAACCAGTAAAGTAAATTTAAATTTACAACAAAAAGTTACTTTTTCAAACAAGTAATCCAAGTATTGACTGACAGCTCTCCTGTCCCTATGCTGAGTAAAACCGGGAGTAAGTGCAGAGATGTTTGCGTTCTGTATTCCTCAAAATGAATGAAAACAGTGAAATGCAAACTCAGAATATTACGCAAACCTGCAATTATTAAATATGTTAAATAACACAAATATACTTATGTATTTAATGTCTTTGCTGCTGACCTCTAATGATCCAATTCAACCACACCAATAAGCAAAAATTAGGTTAAACGTAACATTTGTGCTTCATTTTCAGTCGTGTTTATTGCTGAAGTAAAGCCCAATTTATACTTCTGCGTCGAATTCCCTCCGTAGCTACGTCGTAGGCTTCGTGTAGCACGCGTACCCTTCGGCGTACCCTGACTGCAGCTCTCCAAAAATTAAACAACGCACCAATCCTTAGCGGACGCAAGCGCTGTGATTGGTCGGCTGAAACCCCTCCCTCGGGTTTCACATGCTCCCTCTGCATGTGTAATTGCGCCTCAACGCGGACAACGACGCAGAAATATAAGTGAAGACCAACGCGTAGCCTACAGTGTAGAGGCTCCGGCGTAGGTCCGACGCAGAAGTATAAAGCAGCCTTAAGAGTGTTGAACGTTCTTCTTCTGTGGTCCAGAACAGCAGCAGCAGTTTGTTTGAGCGGCGCTCTCTACTGTACAGGAGTGAATCTGCGCTCCCTTCAGCCTGAGGCTTATTCACTCCACCTCTCCTGCTGTGAAAGGGCCTTTACATTTGACAAAAATAGAACTTTTTTTGTTGTTGTTGTTGTTGTTGTTGTTATTTTAAAAAAAAGCAAGCGAGAAAAAGTAACACAAACACATTACTTTTCATAAAAAGTAACTAAGTAACGTTATTAGTTACTTTTTAGGGAGTAACGCAATATTGTAACGCATTACTTTTAACAGTAACTTCCTCCAACATTGTTTGTTGGTTGTCCCATAAGGCATCGAGTTCAACAGAGGGACATGGCCATGGTTCATATTTGAGGGTTGTTTTTAGCACTGCAGACTTCCTTGGTAGTATATCAGGACAATCTGTCAGAGGAAGAAAGCATTCCAGAAAGCGGTTTCATCGAGACAGGCTTCAGCTTGCAGCACAGACTCTTTACATTAGCTGCAAACAACCACATTCAAACCAGCCGTGACCGACCTATGTTCATTAAACAACCAACCACGGAGGACGCATGTTTCCTGTCAGTGTGTGGAGATGAAGAACATGAACAATGTGGGCAAACTGTATTGATGCTGTTGCTTGTAGAATAGCACAAAATGATGTTGGATAAAGTCTTGTTGTTGTTGTTTCCAGGCTCTGGGTCGAGATCACTACAGGAAACCAGTGGTGAGTGAGGAACTATCACTTCTCTGCCAGTGTTTGGATGAATAAACTGATCACTCTTGCTTCACATCTCCCTGAACTAAAGTCAAAAACAGAATCAACCTGAATACATTACTTTATACCATCAATTAAACCAGGTAGACATAGCTCTTAATGGTAACAATTGCAGGTTAGCACTTTTTACAGTGTAAGTTGATGAAAAAATGACTGTAGCTTTAACACTTTATTAAACATAATAAAAAAACAGGATAATCCAGAGAGGAAGAACCACAAAAACTGAACACAGCGTAAAGACAACACTGATCAGAGACTGAACCGACCGAAGGGCTTAAATACACAACTCAACAAGAAACAGGTGCGCAACATAATTAGTCTCCTTGACAACCAACTGCTGATACGAACACAGGAAACGGAATGGAATCACATGAAAATAAGGAGTTCACATTAAGGCATGTTCAGACTGCCAGAAAAACTCAGATGGGTTTTTGAAAGTCTGGAGAGCAAAAAAAAACAAACAAAAAAACATGAAATTTGATACAAACCACATTAGCAGGTGATTTGAAATGCAATTCCATTCAGATTTTTACAGATGCATCTCAGTCCGGGCGCTCTGGCTGATCAAATTTTCATGATTTCAAATGGTCTTTTCTCACTCTTAATGCGACACACAACGATAACGGCAAACCTGGACTCGACAGGGCGCCTATCTGAAGAGCGAGATGATGCAGCCCTGTTTGTCCTGCATCCGTTCGGAAAGCCTCGTTACATACGTGTGTACGCCTGCGTTCTTACCAAAGCTACCCATGCAGATAAGTTACTTATGTCTGGAAACACAAATCTTATTTGCGGACAGTCTGCCAGAAAAGATCTGATTTGAGAAGAAATCTGATTTGCCAGCAGTCTGAAAACAGCCTAATAATCCAAACTGGAACAGATCTATTGGTTAAAGTTGTCATAATTTGTTATAAGATTTGTTCTACAAACATCCTACAAATGTTATATACAGTGCCTGACAAAAGTATTGTCGCTTATCTATTTTGTAGAAACACCTGCTATTAACCTGACTTTTAATTAATCAATTGGTGTTAGAAATAGCTCATATGAAAAGCTAAAACCCTCCCAAATGATGTTAAATGCACTGAAATAAATTAGTTTCACTGAAAAAAGATTTATCATTTAAACAAGACAGAAAGGTCCAATTTTGGCAAGACAAAAGTTTTGTCGCCTATACAGAAATTGAACAAATTTCCTGCAAATACAAAAATATGTCAGCAAATTAAGTAGTGGTGCTGTGAGATCCAAATTTAATATCTTGTATGACTTCCATGAGCTTGAAGGACTGCATCCATGCGGTTTGGCAAGGATTCATACAATTTATTGATGAAGTCATCAGGAATAGCAAAGAAAGCAGTCTTGCATGCCTCCCAGAGTTCATCAATATTCTTTGGTTTCGTCTTCCATGCTTCCTCTTTCATCCTACCCCACATATGCTCAATGATGTTCATGTCTGGTGACTGGGCTGGCCAATCCTGGAGCATCTTGATCTTCTTCGCCTTGAGGAACTTTGATGTGGAGATGGAAGTATGTGATGGAGCACCATCCTGCTGCAGAGTTTGGCCTCTTTTATGGTTGGGAATATAAGAGGTAGCTAAGATTTCTTGGTATTTTAGACTATTGATGTTGCCTTCCACCCTGCAGATCTCTCGCACACCCCCATACTGGATGTAACCCCAGACCATGATTTTTCCACCACCAAACTTCACTGTTTTCTGGGTGAATCTCGAATCCATGCGGGCTCCAGTAGGTCTCCTGCAATATTTGCGGCGACTGTGGTGTAATTCAACAGAAGATTCATCTGAAAAATCCACCTTCTTCCACTTTTCCAGCGTCCATCCTTTTAGCAGGCTGTGGGCCTTGGCAAATGCCACACGGTTTTTCAATTGTCTTTTGTTTAGTGCTGGCTTCTGGGCACTGATTCGACCATGGAGGCCATTTCGAGACAGAATCCGACAAACTGTTCTGGTTGACACAGGGACTTCAGGTGACCAGGTCTCGTGGAGCTCTGCTGCAGTGGAAAATGGGCTGGCCTTGGATTTTCGAGCCAACAAACGGTCCTCTCGAGCAGTTGTCTTGCGGGGTCTGCCTGACCTGGGCTTGTCAAAAATGTCTCCAGTGTCTTCAGATGTTTTTTTTATCCTCTGTACTTGACGCTGAGACACATTGAAGGTGTCTGCCACATCAGCAGTGGATCTGGTCTTCAGCCTCTTGATAATCAAAACTTTAGTCTCAGGGTGAATCTTAGGCATGTTTGCAGAGGTCTAGTTGCAGTTGATGTGAAGGTCTAGTGTACTGGGGTTGTTTTTATACACACCTGAGACCTAATTGATCCATTATTAGTCACAGGTGAAGCTCATATGACAAGGCGACAACACTTATGTCTTTGCAAAAATTGACTCAATGGGCTTTACCAAGCTGTGAATATTAGAATACTTTTTGACAGTTTCGTTTTGCACTGAAACATTATTACAAAAGCTGTTGGGATAAAAATGAGCCATTTCTTGTAAAAAAATCTTGATTAGAAATATATTTTAGCGCCACTTCAGGTCAATTTGTACACAAGCGACAAGACTTTTGTCAGGGACTGTATATAAAAAATAGTATGAAAAAAGTAGTCATTATGAAAACATTTCTTTTTGATGTCACTTCTATTAAAGTCAGGTGACACCTGCCGGCCAACAGCACCTGTCAGTGTCCACTGTTCACATATGAGTTTTCCTCATGTTTCGTTTTCATTTCATTTGATTTATTGCTAGATTTATCAGATAGGAAGGCCTCTGAGTAGATGATTGCGAACTCCTCTAAAGTCTCTGTAGTCTCTGGGATAGTCTGCCCCTTGAGGTCAGGAGTGGTACTACACTCACGTCTGAAGACACGCTTACTTGCCCTCACGGTTTTTCTTGATATGTTGTTGTATTGTGCTATTGAAATAAAATTAAATTAAAAATGTTAAATGCATAATGCATGAATGCCAGTGTAAAGTTGCTTGTGTGTCTTAACGAGACCAGGCGATCCTCTCATCAGCGCTTCAGTGTTTTGATCTGTGCACTTCATTGACTTCATCTTGTTGAGCACTAGCTAGATGTGTCCAGTAACAGTTTGATGTGTTGTCGCAGCCGCCGGCACCAGATGACCTGTCCATCGTCTGCTTCACCAGTGGAACCACAGGTGAGTCAATGCAGCTCCACATTCTCTTCTGCCACAGGTTAACCCTAACCTAAACTAAACTAACCTAAACTAAACTAAACTAAACTAAACTAAGCTAAGCTAACCTAAACTAAACTAAACTAAACTAAACTAAACTAAACTAAACTAAACTAACCTAACCTAAACTAACTCTAACTCTAACTAAACTAAACTAACCTGACCTTAACTAACCCAACCTCACCTGACCTAACCGGTTAGCATGCCTTTAGCTCCTGCTCCCCTCAGATTCTGGGGATTATTTAGGTATTATTTCTACATAAATGCCTGTGATAAAATATCCCTGAAGTGAAATGGGCCGTGGTGAGCGGCGGATATGAGCGGCACAGTTAGTGAAACGTGTGCAGATGTGCTTGTTGACCCAAGTAAATCTCCTACAGTACAGCGATGTAAGAGCGTATGAAACCTTCCTCACATCATCATCCAGTGTCCCACAGCGGGTCAAGCGTAGCGTCCTCCCTCCTGAGAATCCCATCCCAAGAGAATTCACAGCATTCAGAAGAGCTGAAGGGAGGAAGGCGGTGAACTCTACACTTTAAAACCAGACGTCTAGTGTTGAAGACGAAGACCGTCAGTGTTGTCGGACTCGTCAAGTTATGCAGGGTTATCATAGTGAACTAAAACTAAAACCATAAAAAACATTGTCACTTGAAATTAAATAAACTTGAGCTGAAATAAAATGTAAAAATCTTAAACTTACTTTTTCTGCTAGTTGCCAAAGAAACATTTCTCATTTTCATTTAGTTTAAAATGACATAAAAAAAAAAACAAACAAAAAAATTGGTCCCACTTTTTATTAAGTGTCTTCAATGACTATGTACAAACATTTAAATTAACTTATTGTGTACATACGTTTTTACATTGTACTGATAATTAAAAATACCTGCATTTTAATTTCTGTAATTGCATCTATATTTACACTGTAATTACACCCTGAAAATGTCATCAAACCTGTCCTGACTTACCCATATCCACCCAACCCGACCTCGCGGGAGACGCTTGCACCAGCTGGGGAATTCCAATCAATTCCTACGATTTCAATTGAACAAAAAATATGATTTTTAAAAGAAACTCATGATGAAGGACCTCCCTTTAAACCCATCGAACAGATCGAACCAAGTAGCCACCAATAAACCAAACCTAAGAGAGTTCTGAATGGCTGAGACGGTGTTGATCCAAGTGTTTTCAACACAATAAGCTCATAAAGACACCTACAGTGTGACCAAACACTTTAACTAGAATTTCAATGAAAACAAAAGAACTAGTCCTAAATATTCACAAAAGGCTATTATAGTATCTGAATGATACTATAAAGCATTATAGCCTTGATGCTATAATAAAACTACAAATATGAAAATCAGCATGTGATTGAAAGACTGACATCACTGTCGAAAAGACATCAACACTGAGCTCAATACTGGTGTGTGTGTGTGTGTGTGTTTTGCAGGAGATCCGAAGGGAGTGATGCTGACCCACGGCAACGTTGTCGCAGACTTTGCTGGCTTTCTGAAAGTGACAGATGTGAGTGATTTCTGTAAACATGAGCGACTGCTGAAGTGTGTCGACAGACAGCGATCTGACTAACCGCAGCCTCTCTGTGTGTCTGTCTGCAGAAAGTCATCTTTCCGAATCAAGACGACGTTCTCATTTCCTTCCTGCCTCTTGCTCACATGTTCGAGAGGTTGATTGAGGTGAGACCTGCGTGAGAAGATGCTCTTTATACTGCAGGAGCTCAACACTGCTCGTCCAATGAGAAACACACACGTCCTCAGCTCTTCTGCTGGATCAGGTTACAGTCTGGCAGTGTGCCGACCGTCAGCACTAACAAGGGCATGGAACCACACCTACACACACACACACACACACATTAGAAGAGTGTGCACTTCCTCTTTCCCAGGCGCTTCATGGCCATGGCCTAATGTGACCCACTGATCTCAATCTCTTAAAGGAGCCGCAGTTGATTTCCTCAATGCTTTAAAACAGCTGGAACGATCTAAAACCACAGCGGGTTTCTTTCTGCTCTTCTATGGAGTGTAACAGCCGAGTAGGGAGCTAAGGAAAAGGCCTGAAGTGTGTGTTCAAGTGTGTGGAGGTTGTTGTATTTGAGACGGAAGTATTGAGTCGTGTTTTTGTTCTGGTGAGTTAGGGTTAGATGAAATCAACACAACACCAGACCAGCAGAACCAGTGCATGAAGGCTTCATTCCTACAGCACTTTACGTTTCAAAGCAGCTTCATTAACAGGAACTTTAACAGTGTTAATGTTTGATAATTCATTAATTATAAGACCAGTTTAATTTCATCTGTAACACAGCTCTATAGAAGCCAATAAAGTCTTTATTCAGTTCAGTTCAGGTTTTGTTCTAAGTGCAGTCAATTTGATAATATTTCTGAATATGTATTGTCTCATGAATATGTATTGGGGCGGCAGTGGCTCAGTGGTTCATGTTGGTTGTCTACAAACCGGAAGGTTGGTGGTTCAATCCTCGGTTCCACCTGACCAAGTGTCGAGGTGTCCATGAGCAAGACACCTAACCCCGGCTGCTCCCGGCGAGCTGGATAGCGCCCTGCATGGCTGCCGTCGCCCGTCGGTGTATGAATGAGTGAGTGAATGGGTGAATGTGAGGCAAATTGTAAAGCGCTTTGATGGCCATTGGGTCTGTGAAAGCGCTATATAAATGCAGTCCATTTACCATTTACCATTCATGTTCCCTTCATTCCAGTCCGTGGTGATCTGCCATGGCGGGAGGATTGGCTTTTTCCAAGGCGATATCCGACTTCTTCCTGACGACATGAAGGCTCTCAGACCCACGATATTTCCCGTGGTGCCGCGTCTCCTGAACCGCATGTATGACAAGGTGAGCCGTCGCACCGATCAGACACATTCACAAAGAGATGACCTGTCCGTTCTTCACTATAATGCATATAGCACAGTCATCTGCACTGTGAAAAGAGCTGTTTCTACCCGATTTAACATATTATTTAACGTCACTCAACCACAAATTAGTATATTTTTGACTTGATTAAAACCAGTTGATTTAGAATAGATTATTTTTTATTAACAGCAAACAGTGCAGGGCATGAAGTCTCTCCGTCTCTCAGGATCAGTCCAGCTCTGGCTGAAGACACATTAGTGATGCTTCCATTCAAAGTTGGGAATTTAACTTGCAAAATTGGAATATGGCTTGAAACATTTTTGAATAAAGCAGCATTTCCATCCCATGTGTTCCAGAGAACAAAATCATCACTTCCTGGCACAAAATATCAGTAATAAACTGTAGGATTCTGCAATCGGGCTCTTTTTCCTCCATCATAAAGGAGTTTGTCTCAGAGCAAGCAATAAACGAAAGAATAAATGCTGTCATGTTCTCTTGCGTTCGGATGCTGGTGTTTGGGAACACAATCGTGTCAGTGTCACACTCTCACACCACATGGACTCTTGTTTTCATTCAGTGCCGCTTTTCCCTAGTTAGTTTGTTGTCATGGACACTCATTAGTTTCAGCTGTGCACTAATTAATCATCTAATTATCCTCCCACTATTTAAGTTCAGTTCTTTTTTTTGTGTCTTTGTCTGGTCTTGTCTATACTATGGCTGTGTTGGATTGCTTAACTCTTTGTTGGACTTAACATGTGTAGAATATTAAAGTTTACCTGTTTACGTTCATGTTCATCTTCATGTGTGTTTACACAACCTGATCGTGACAGAAGATCAGACCTAAGAAAAGATAAGCGGCGTGTTTGTTGAAGCGTTTTTGTTGTACGTGTTTTTGGTTTCTTTCTGCAATATGGAGCACTTGGCAGCAGTCAAACTGTTATGCCTTGAGTAGAAGGACCACTCCCTTGAGGAACCTTTAAAGGAATTCCTCAGCCTCATGCTAGCTACATCTTTCCCGGACGACGGCCTCAACACCGGCAGCAGAGAGCATCTGTCCGGGGAAGGCCCTCGAGGGAGCTTACCCAGATACGTAGAGTGGGGCTGGTGTCCTGTGATTCGCCGCTCACAGTGGACATTGTCGACGACAACAGTAACGACCCAGTGCCCAGCCAAAAACACCCAGACTGTGGGGATTGGCGGCCCGAGCCCACCGCAGGCAACGAGAGCGACTCCGCCGCGACGTGCAAGCCAGCGCTAACAAGAGCGACCCAGCTGAACATCGTTACGGAGCCTGAGCGGCAGCTTCATCCATCGCTGAGGGAGGGAATGTGAAATTCGTGGGGATGGCCCTCCCGCCACTGAGAGTGAGTGTTTGACAATCGCACTGGAGAACAGTTTTGATTTTGGAGAGGTTGATTTTCTGCCCACTCGGTTACCGCCTGAATCAGTCTGTTATGTTCTGATCCCGCTGGTCCCACCCAACCTCCCTCTCCCACCACCTCTCCAAAATATTTTTGAGACTTTATTTTTTTGGGGATTTTGCATCCCTCTCCAAGCCCCTCTCTAGTCCCCAGCCACGCCTGCCACCCAGTCATCGCTGCCTCCCATCAGCCCTTCAGTTTCGCCTCAGCCTCCTCTCAGTGTCATGGATCCACATTGCGCCTGCTGGGAGCCATCAGCCTCGCCGGACTCCCTCAGCACGTCGGCTCCACCTGGTTCGGGCATCACTACACCTACGCAGCGGACTCCTTGCTCTCCGGGCCTCCACCCCCTAAGCTTTAGCCAGCCCCTCCCTCGGGCTCCGTCTCCGCCCTCGGTCGCTCCAGCTCGACTTCAGCCCTCCGGATCCCTACCACCATCTCAGGGGTTGTCACTGCAGCTATGCCATCCATATCATCGGAGTCCCTTTGCTACATCGTCTCTACGGCTGCGTGATGGGCTCCTTCCTCCATGACATCATCACCTCGGGTCGTCCCCATGGCTACATCTCCATGGCTCCTCCCTCTTGCGACGCCGCCATGAGGCGCAGTCTCAGCTGTGTCTTCCTCTCCTCAAGGCTCCTCCATGGCTTTCTCCATCATCTGCTCCACCCTGGACTTTTGTATTCCGCCTCCTGGTCGGCCGTCCACCTTCAGAACCTCCTCCTGTGTCCTCTGCCTGTTTTGCCAAACCTTTGCCACCTCCTCATCCTCTTTGCCTTCTTGTCATCACGGCATGAGGACGCGCCTTCCAGGATGCTGGTGTTTGGGAACACAATCGTTTCAGTGTCACACACTCACACCACATGGACTCTTGTTTTCAGTCAGTGCCGTATTTCCTTAGTTGGTTGGTTATCATGGACACTCATTAGCTTCAGCTGCGCACCTCATTATCCTCGCTCTCACTATTTAAGTTCAGTTCTGCTTGTGTGTCTTTGTCTGGTCTCGTCTATACTATGGTTGTGTTGGATCGCTTTAGTCTATGTTGGACTTAACATGTGTGGTTTATTAAAGTTTACCTGTTTGCTCTCATCTTCATCTTCGTGTGTGTTTACACAACCTGATTGTGACAGTGAGACGCTTCTGGAGGGAATTAAACCAAATCATTCTGATGACAGACTCTCTTTATCTAAACGCTATTCATTTTAAAATACAAGTTAAACTAAAGTAGAGGCCTTTTTAAGATCATGAGAAGCATAACTCATGTTTGAACATGAGTTTACATGTGAGGACTATGATATTTTATGCAGTAATCAAGTCAACTCAGCTTTATTTATAGGCCTACTGTATACTTTATACAATGCAGATGATTTAAAAGCAGCTTCACAGTGACCAACAGAATTCAATTCTACTGTAATCATTTAAAAAAATATAAAAACATTCTTCAGCCATATGTATTTCCCATGTAACTGTTGAAGCATGTCTGCTGTCGTTCAGATCTTCAGTCAGGCCAACAACTCCGTCAAGCGCTGGCTGCTGAACTTCGCGGCCAAGAGAAAAGGTTCGGAGGTGAGCCGCGGCGTCATCCGCTGCGACAGCGTCTGGGACAAGATCTTCTTCCACAAGATCCAGGTGCGTGACTAGAGCCGGTGAGATGCTGGGCCGAAGCCGCGCTGCTGTTTGACTGTGCTGTGTCTCCTTACAGGCCAGTCTGGGTGGCAGGCTGAGGATGATCATCACTGGAGCAGCTCCGGCGTCCCCGTCCGTCCTGGGCTTCCTGAGAGCAGTGTTGGGCTGTCAGGTGAGGCGAGAGCGAGCGTCTGTAGCATAGCCCTCCTGTGTTTCTGAGCTCATCACAGCTGTGTGTCTGTAGCGTAGCCCTCCTGTGTTTCTGAGCTCATCTCAGCTGTGTGTCTGTAGCGTAGCCCTCCTGTGTTTCTGAGCTCATCTCAGCTGTGTGTCTGTAGCGTAGCCCTCCTGTGTTTCCGAGCTCATCTCAGCTGTGTGTCTGTAGCATAGCCCTCCTGTGTTTCCGAGCTCATCTCAGCTGTGTGTCTGTAGCGTAGCCCTCCTGTGTTTCTGAGCTCATCTCAGCTGTGTGTCTGTAGCGTAGCGCTCCTGTGTTTCCGAGCTCATCTCAGCTGTGTGTCTGTAGCGTAGCGCTCCTGTGTTTCTGAGCTCATCTCAGCTGTGCGTCTGTAGCATAGCCCTCCTGTGTTTCCGAGCTCATCTCAGCTGTCTGTCTGTAGCGTAGCGCTCCTGTGTTTCTGAGCTCATCTCAGCTGTGCGTCTGTAGCGTAGCGCTCCTGTGTTTCTGAGCTCATCTCAGCTGTGTGTCTGTAGCGTAGCGCTCCTGTGTTTCCGAGCTCATCTCAGCTGTGTGTCTGTAGCGTAGCGCTCCTGTGTTTCTGAGCTCATCTCAGCTGTGTGTCTGTAGCGTAGCGCTCCTGTGTTTCTGATCTCATCTCAGCTGTGTGTCTGTAGCGTAGCGCTCCTGTGTTTCCGAGCTCATCTCAGCTGTGTGTCTGTAGCGTAGCGCTCCTGTGTTTCCGAGCTCATCTCAGCTGTGTGTCTGTAGCGTAGCGCTCCGGTGTTTCTGAGCTCATCTCAGCTGTGTGTCTGTAGCGTAGCCCTCCTGTGTTTCCGAGCTCATCTCAGCTGTGTGTCTGTAGCATAGCCCTCCTGTGTTTCCGAGCTCATCTCAGCTGTGTGTCTGTAGCGTAGCCCTCCTGTGTTTCTGAGCTCATCTCAGCTGTGTGTCTGTAGCGTAGCGCTCCTGTGTTTCCGAGCTCATCTCAGCTGTGTGTCTGTAGCGTAGCGCTCCTGTGTTTCCGAGCTCATCTCAGCTGTGTGTCTGTAGCGTAGCGCTCCTGTGTTTCTGAGCTCATCTCAGCTGTGCGTCTGTAGCATAGCCCTCCTGTGTTTCCGAGCTCATCTCAGCTGTCTGTCTGTAGCGTAGCGCTCCTGTGTTTCTGAGCTCATCTCAGCTGTGCGTCTGTAGCGTAGCGCTCCTGTGTTTCTGAGCTCATCTCAGCTGTGTGTCTGTAGCGTAGCGCTCCTGTGTTTCCGAGCTCATCTCAGCTGTGTGTCTGTAGCGTAGCGCTCCTGTGTTTCTGAGCTCATCTCAGCTGTGTGTCTGTAGCGTAGCCCTCCTGTGTTTCTGAGCTCATCTCAGCTGTGTGTCTGTAGCGTAGCGCTCCTGTGTTTCTGATCTCATCTCAGCTGTGTGTCTGTAGCGTAGCGCTCCTGTGTTTCCGAGCTCATCTCAGCTGTGTGTCTGTAGCGTAGCGCTCCTGTGTTTCCGAGCTCATCTCAGCTGTGTGTCTGTAGCGTAGCGCTCCTGTGTTTCTGAGCTCATCACAGCTGTGTGTCTGTAGCGTAGCGCTCCTGTTTTTTTCTGAGCTCATCACAGCTGTGTGTCTGTAGCGTAGCGCTCCTGTATTTCTGAGCTCATCACAGCTGTGTGTCTGTAGCGTAGCGCTCCTGTGTTTCCGAGCTCATCTCAGCTGTGTGTCTGTAGCGTAGCGCTCCTGTGTTTCTGAGCTCATCTCAGCTATGTGTCTGTAGCGTAGCGCTCCTGTGTTTCTGAGCTCATCTCAGCTGTGTGTCTGTAGCGTAGCTCTCCTGTGTTTCTGAGCTCATCTCAGCTGTGTGTCTGTAGCGTAGCGCTCCTGTGTTTCTGAGCTCATCTCAGCTGTGTGTCTGTAGCGTAGCGCTCCTGTGTTTCTGAGCTCATCACAGCTGTGTGTCTGTAGCGTAGCGCTCCTGTGTTTCTGAGCTCATCTCAGCTGTGCGTCTGTAGCGTAGCGCTCCTGTGTTTCTGAGCTCATCTCAGCTGTGCGTCTGTAGCGTAGCGCTCCTGTGTTTCTGAGCTCATCTCAGCTGTGCGTCTGTAGCGTAGCGCTCCTGTGTTTCTGAGCTCATCACAGCTGTGTGTCTGTAGCGTAGCGCTCCTGTGTTTCTGAGTTCATCTCAGCTGTGTGTCTGTAGCGTAGCGCTCCTGTGTTTCTGAGCTCATCTCAGCTGTGTGTCTGTAGCGTAGCGCTCCTGTGTTTCTGAGCTCATCACAGCTGTGTGTCTGTAGCGTAGCGCTCCTGTGTTTCTGAGTTCATCTCAGCTGTGTGTCTGTAGCGTAGCGCTCCTGTGTTTCTGAGCTCATCTCAGCTGTGTGTCTGTAGCGTAGCGCTCCTGTGTTTCTGAGCTCATCTCAGCTGTGTGTCTGTAGCGTAGCGCTCCTGTGTTTCTGAGCTCATCTCAGCTGTGTGTCTGTAGCGTAGCGCTCCTGTGTTTCTGAGCTCATCTCAGCTGTGTGTCTGTAGCGTAGCGCTCCTGTGTTTCTGAGCTCATCACAGCTGTGTGTCTGTAGCGTAGCGCTCCTGTGTTTCCGAGCTCATCTCAGCTGTGCGTCTGTAGCGTAGCGCTCCTGTGTTTCCGAGCTCATCTCAGCTGTGTGTCTGTAGCGTAGCGCTCCTGTGTTTCTGAGCTCATCTCAGCTGTGTGTCTGTAGCGTAGCGCTCCTGTGTTTCTGAGCTCATCTCAGCTGTCTGTCTGTAGCGTAGCGCTCCTGTGTTTCTGAGCTCATCTCAGCTGTGCGTCTGTAGCGTAGCGCTCCTGTGTTTCCGAGCTCATCTCAGCTGTGCGTCTGTAGCGTAGCGCTCCTGTGTTTCCGAGCTCATCTCAGCTGTGTGTCTGTAGCGTAGCGCTCCTGTGTTTCTGAGCTCATCTCAGCTGTGTGTCTGTAGCGTAGCGCTCCTGTGTTTCCGAGCTCATCTCAGCTGTGTGTCTGTAGCGTAGCGCTCCTGTGTTTCCGAGCTCATCACAGCTGTGTGTCTGTAGCGTAGCGCTCCTGTGTTTCTGAGCTCATCTCAGCTGTGTGTCTGTAGCGTAGCGCTCCTGTGTTTCTGAGCTCATCTCAGCTGTGTGTCTGTAGCGTAGCTCTCCTGTGTGTCTGAGCTCATCTCAGCTGTGTGTCTGTAGCGTAGCGCTCCTGTGTTTCTGAGCTCATCTCAGCTGTGTGTCTGTAGCGTAGCGCTCCTGCGTTTCTGAGCTCATCTCAGCTGTGTGTCTGTAGCGTAGCGCTCCTGCGTTTCTGAGCTCATCTCAGCTGTGTGTCTGTAGCGTAGCGCTCCTGTGTTTCTGAGCTCATCTCAGCTGTGTGTCTGTAGCGTAGCGCTCCTGTGTTTCTGAGCTCATCACAGCTGTGTGTCTGTAGCGTAGCTCTCCTGTGTGTCTGAGCTCATCTCAGCTGTGTGTCTGTAGCGTAGCGCTCCTGTGTTTCTGAGCTCATCACAGCTGTGTGTCTGTAGCGTAGCGCTCCTGTGTTTCTGAGCTCATCTCAGCTGTGTGTCTGTAGCGTAGCGCTCCTGTGTTTCTGAGCTCATCTCAGCTGTGTGTCTGTAGCGTAGCGCTCCTGCGTTTCTGAGCTCATCTCAGCTGTGTGTCTGTAGCGTAGCGCTCCTGCGTTTCTGAGCTCATCTCAGCTGTGTGTCTGTAGCGTAGCGCTCCTGTGTTTCTGAGCTCATCTCAGCTGTGTGTCTGTAGCGTAGCGCTCCTGTGTTTCTGAGCTCATCACAGCTGTGTGTCTGTAGCGTAGCGCTCCTGTGTTTCTGAGCTCATCTCAGCTGTGTGTCTGTAGCGTAGCGCTCCTGTGTTTCTGAGCTCATCTCAGCTGTGTGTCTGTAGCGTAGCGCTCCTGCGTTTCTGAGCTCATCTCAGCTGTGTGTCTGTAGCGTAGCGCTCCTGTGTTTCTGAGCTCATCTCAGCTGTGTGTCTGTAGCGTAGCGCTCCTGTGTTTCTGAGCTCATCACAGCTGTGTGTCTGTAGCGTAGCGCTCCTGTGTTTCTGAGCTCATCTCAGCTGTGTGTCTGTAGCGTAGCGCTCCTGTGTTTCCAAGCTCATCTCAGCTGTGTGTCTGTAGCGTAGCGCTCCTGTGTTTCCAAGCTCATCTCAGCTGTGTGTCTGTAGCGTATCTCAGCTGTGTGTCTGTAGCGTAGCGCTCCTGTGTTTCCAAGCTCATCTCAGCTGTGTGTCTGTAGGTGTACGAGGCATACGGACAGACGGAGTGCACCGCTGGATGCACCTTCACCACACCTGGAGACTGGACGTCCGGTGAGACTCTTGCTCGATCATGACCTCTGGCACATGCTTTTCTTCTGGCCTCATCCAGAATCACCCTTTAAACAGTTCAGTTTTTCTTAAAGCAAAAATTTTTCTTTTAAATAGTATATTGGCTTGAAAGCAGAGAACACATTCTGGCTCGCTTTACTGACTGCAGAGATAAACATGTTTTAAAAAGACATCTCAATAACCATTACTGTCTAAACTAAACATTTACTAACAAAATATATATAAACTTATTTATTATTAAAAGTAAATCAAAAGGTAAGGTTTGAATCAAACCATAAATATAATTTGAGAAAAACTAATACATTTTGATGTGATGAATTTGAATATTTTGGTAATTTCTTTAGTGTGTTGTGATTATTAGAAAAACAGAAAAACACTCTTTTAACACATGATGATTAATGGATGTTTTCACAGAGTGACTCATTTCACAGTTATCAACATCGCTGCTCTAGTAAAGTTTATCATAGTTTCATTTGTAACGCTATACTTTGCCTTATATTACCTTGGCAGTAAATTATAAAGCAGGTTGTGTTTCTAACACAATTTCACGTTTCTCTCTTCTGACCAACATCATCAATATTTTCCACTTCTTTTGGAAAGTCATGGAAATGCTATCATGGACTTTTCTCTTTTGCTATTGGAGCAAACGGTAATACAGACATTATATTTGCTGTTGTCTCCCGGAGATGTTAAAAGAGTCTGTTGTCCTTCACTAGATGTAATGGCTATTTCTAAAGATGGTCGTAGTGTGACATCACACTCTGCGGCATCTTTTTTATATGTAACATATAATACATACAAAATGTAAAAATATAAAATCTACTAGGCTTTACCGAGGTCACGGCATGATCTTCACGTGACACGGATCCACAGGGAAGAGTTAGCGAACATGACCTTTGGAACGCAGTGAAATCCTGTGTTTCTGTCTCCTGCATGTGTATGAATGAAAACCGTTCCTTTACACTAGAATGAGCCACCAGTTACTCCCCAGTCACTGATAACTAGCCATTTAATAATCAAGATGATTCAGTCAGGGTGAATACTGTGTAGCAGTGAGAAATATATGATGTCTCTACATCCACTGTGAAACTGCGTGGCAAGCTCTCCCTCCAGTGGCTTGTTTTTGCATTACACTTTGAGTGCCGTGTGTTGCAGACTGTCTTCAGTGTTTCTCAGTCATTATGTCCTCTAATCAGTCATTATCTGCTGATTCATCCACACAGACCTGTATGTGATGACATGATGAAGTTATTGAGGTCTCTCTCTGCAGGTCATGTAGGAGCTCCGCTGCCCTGTAACCTCATTAAACTGGTGGATGTGGCTGAGAAGAACTACTTCGCTGCTAAAGGAGAGGGCGAGGTTTGTTATAACACTGTCTGTGTGGCCTACGCTTAGTTTAACACACACTGGCAAAGACAAGTCTTTAAAAAGCTGCTTCACACTAGAAAACAGAAATCTACCTGGTCTGGAGAAATGTAGGACTATCATTTTCAACAAAAATTCTCTGAAATGTTTTGTGGTGTAACATTTATGTTCAAATGTTCCTTACACCTTGAGTAGACGTCTGTTCAATCATGTCTTTCAAATAGTATGAATTTATTGTTATTTATTATTATGAATATTGTTTTCCTGGGGTTATTACATTTAACTAACTGTCAAAATATCCCAGTATAAATGTCACTTCTTTTTTAAATAAATAAAAGATTTGTATTCCATGGTGTTCTGGAATAGTGCCGTTGACAAAGCGCATGGCTGGAGAGACTGTAACAGAAAGTCATACGTTATCCCGTAACAGGAAGCCATACGTTATCCCGTAACAGGAAGACATACGTTATCCCGTAACAGGAAGCCATACGTTATCCCGTAACAGGAAGCCATATGTTATCCCGTAACAGGAAGTCATACAGAAAGTCATACGTTATCCCGTAACAGGAAGCCATACGTTATCCCGTAACAGGAAGTCATTTGTTATCCCGTAACAGGAAGTCATTCGTTATCCCGTAACAGGAAGTCATACAGAAAGTCATACGTTATCCCGTAACAGGAAGCCATACGTTATCCCGTAACAGGAAGCCATACGTTATCCCGTAACAGGAAGCCATACGTTATCCCGTAACAGGAAGCCATACGTTATCCCGTAACAGGAAGTCATTCGTTATCCCGTAACAGGAAGTCATACAGAAAGTCATAGGTTATCCCGTAACAGGAAGCCATACGTTATCCCGTAACAGGAAGTCATTCGTTATCCCGTAACAGGAAGTCATACAGAAAGTCATACGTTATCCCGTAACAGGAAGCCATACGTTATCCCGTAACAGGAAGCCATACGTTATCCCGTAACAGGAAGTCATTCGTTATCCCGTAACAGGAAGTCATTCGTTATCCCGTAACAGGAAGTCATACAGAAAGTCATACGTTATCCCGTAACAGGAAGCCATACGTTATCCCGTAACAGGAAGTCATTCGTTATCCCGTAACAGGAAGTCATACAGAAAGTCATACGTTATCCCGTAACAGGAAGTCATACGTTATCCCGTAACAGGAAGTCATACGTTATCCCCTAACAGGAAGCCATACGTTATCCCGTAACAGGAAGCCATACGTTATACCGTAACAGGAAGCCATACGTTATCCCGTAACAGGAAGCCATACGTTATCCCGTAACAGGAAGTCATTCGTTATCCCGTAACAGGAAGTCATACAGAAAGTCATACGTTATCCCGTAACAGGAAGCCATACGTTATCCCGTAACAGGAAGACATACGTTATCCCGTAACAGGAAGACATACGTTATCCCGTAACAGGAAGACATACGTTATACCGTAACAGGAAGCCATACGTTATCCCGTAACAGGAAGACATACGTTATCCCGTAACAGGAAGACATACGTTATCCCGTAACAGGAAGCCATACGTTATACCGTAACAGGAAGCCATACGTTATCCCGTAACAGGAAGACATACGTTATCCCGTAACAGGAAGTCATACGTTATCCCGTAACAGGAAGCCATACGTTATACCGTAACAGGAAGCCATACGTTATACCGTAACAGGAAGCCATACGTTATCCCGTAACAGGAAGCCATACGTTATCCCGTAACAGGAAGACATACGTTATCCCGTAACAGGAAGCCATACGTTATACCGTAACAGGAAGCCATACGTTATCCCGTAACAGGAAGACATACGTTATCCCGTAACAGGAAGTCATACGTTATCCCGTAACAGGAAGCCATACGTTATACCGTAACAGGAAGCCATACGTTATACCGTAACAGGAAGCCATACGTTATCCCGTAACAGGAAGACATACGTTATCCCGTAACAGGAAGTCATACGTTATCCCGTAACAGGAAGCCATACGTTATACCGTAACAGGAAGCCATACGTTATCCCGTAACAGGAAGCCATACGTTATCCCGTAACAGGAAGACATACGTTATCCCGTAACAGGAAGTCATACGTTATCCCGTAACAGAAAGCCATACGTTATACCGTAACAGGAAGCCATACGTTATCCCGTAACAGGAAGACATACGTTATTCCCCATATTGTCGGCCCAGATCTGGTATGAGTGAAATCCACATGTACCAGCTGTGGCCCGGATCTGGGCCAACACTATGTTGCTGTCTGGCACTGTAACAGGAAGTCATACGGCATCATCACAAGCTTGATTGACAGTCATGTCCCCATGCATTTGTCTTAAGAGCACAAAGCTCTCTCTCGCCAAACACAGAATAGGCCATTATTAAAGCATCATCCATCATTCTTCTCTTTGTTTTTGCTCCAGGTTTGTGTGAAAGGTCCAAATGTCTTCAAGGGTTATCTGAAGGATCCCGTGAGGACGGCGGAGACGCTGGACACAGACGGATGGCTTCACACCGGAGACATCGGGAAATGGCTGCCGGTATGTCGGCCTCAACACGTTTTGTTCTTCTTTGTATACAAGAGACATGGTAAAAAGACAGATGAACAGGACAGTCCTGCTGTCCCATCGTGACTTCAACTCTTTCCCCGCCAGCGTTTTTATCATTTTTATAAAGCTTTCATAGCCCCCAGAATATTTTATTGTATAAATATCTGAACATGCAATATATCAAAAGAAAGAACAGAGCCTCTGCATTAGAACAAGCAAACAAACATTTTATTCTAGCTTCATGCATTCTTTTTTATCAACACTTGAATGTGGGTTTCATAAAAAAGCATCATTTTGAACAAAAAGCTGAGTAAATACTACAACAGGAGTGTTAGCAATGTTTTAATCAGGAGATTCAGTACTCTTTCAGAAGATGTGTAACAGCGCCCCCTACCGTATAACAGAGAAAACACGTCCTGTCAATGGCAGGGAAAGGGTTAAAGAGCGACTTCGACCTGATTTAACCCTTTAAATTAATGTATACAGTTTGGTTCAGTGTCTATAGATACTGCTTGACTTGAGACTCATGCATTTCCTCAGCATTTCTCTTGTCAAGTCGCCTTCATTTATACAGCGCTTTTAACAATATAGATGTTTCAAAGCAGCTTTACATTGATAACAGGAGATTACAGAAACGGAGATTTAGGCTTTACAGCAGCTCTAGAATAAAGTTATTGTCCAGATAAAGTTAGTTTTGATTGATTCACTTCCGTTGCAAAGATCATTAGTTATTAACTTAGGGGCCGCTAACACGACACCGCTCTAACAGAAAATACTGCTATAATGCGCTCCGGCCGCTCAATCGCACAACGACAGTGTTTGGTGCTCGAGAACGCAAACCTTGAAAAAGTTTGAAAAACGCCATCATCTCTGTGTAAACTTCAAAAACGTGAATCTGTGAGGCATTAACCCTGCATAGCCAACCCTGCTCTTCTTTACTGGTGTTAAATGTGGGTCAAATCTAGTGTCCGTCGGGCCGTTGACCTGCTCAGACAGACGGATAATAACAACAGCTCCTTCCATTCCATAGCCAGCAGCCATATCACCCAGTAGCCCAAGACTGGTCGCCCACTGAAGCTAAGCAGGGCTGAGCCTGGTTAGTACCTGGATGGGAGACCTCCTGAGAAAACCAGGTTGCTGCTGGAAGAGGTGTTAGTGAGGCCAGCAGGGGGCGCTCACCCTGTGGTCTGTGTGGGTCCTAACGCCCCAGTATACTGACGGGGACACTGTACTGTCAAAGAGCACCGTCCTTCGGATGAGACGTTAAACCGAGGTCCTGACTCTCTGTGGTCACAAAAAATCCCAGGATGTCTTTCGAAAGAGTAGGGGTGTAACCCCGGTGTCCTGGCCAAATTTGCCCAGTGGTCTCTGTCCATCATGGCCTCCTAATCATCCCCATATATATATACACTAATTGGCTTCATCACTCTGTCTCCTCTCCACCAGTAAGCTGGTGTGTGGTGGGCGTTCTGGCGCAATATGGCTGCCGTCACATCATCCAGGTGGAGCTGCACATTGGTGGTGTTGAGGAGATTCCCCCTTCCATGTGAAGCGCTTTGAGTGCCGAGAAAAGCGCTATATAAATGTAATGAATTATTTATTATCATTATTCTCTGTCCTTCAGAACGGCACCCTGAAGATCATCGACCGGAAGAAGCACATCTTTAAGTTAGCGCAAGGAGAATATATTTCCCCAGAGAAAATAGAAAACATCTACATCCGCAGTGAGCCCGTGTCTCAGCTGTACGTGCACGGAGACAGCCTGCAGGTCAGTCCTCAGCTTTAGCCTGAATGTCTCGAGTTAGCTGCGCTGCGGATGCTAACGCTGACTGGTTGTGTGTGCAGTCGTGTCTGGTGGGAATCATCGTCCCGGATCCCGAGGTCTTTCCCTCATGGGCTCAGAAGAAAGGCTTTGAAGGATGCTTCGACGAGCTGTGTGAAAATAAAGTAAGGCTCATCTGAACCCTGATCTCATATGCATTTGCTGCTTGTCGGCCCAGATCCGGCCCAGAGCTGGGCCGCGTGGAATCCATGTGTACCAGATGTGGGCCGACACTATGTTGCTGTCTGGGATTCACCAAGTTGCTGACCATTGTCTGTTTTGTCCATCTAAAGGACCTGAAGAAAGCCATCCTGGATGACATGGTGCGTTTGGGAAAAGCTAGTGGCCTCCATTCATTCGAACAGGTACGTCTGCAAACCGGCATGATGTAGCCAACAACTACAGCGCTAAACCACAGGTGTCTGTGTCTTAAACACTCTTTGGTATGAGCATTAGTTGCTCAAGTGGTCACGTGTTTTAGGACTAGGTTCAATTTACTAGAAAGCATTTAATATTTAGTCTCATTTAAAGGTGAAGCGTGTCATTTCTGCACCAGATGGACTAATGGGAGTTTTTAATCAAGGGCCCGTTCTTCATTGCTCGTTTAACACACTTGAGATGGTGTGACGTGTGCCAGATCTTCTCATCCTGATCTCTAGCTCATCGTGCTTCTTCAAACACAGGTGTCTGAGATTACGGTGTTCGTTTGAAAGAGCAAATCTTTAAAGACTCAAGACTATGAGCAGCGATTGGCCGGCAGAATGACGTCAATTTAATGGCCTCGTTTAAAAGTGTAAACGAGTTCAAATTATTATTATTATTATCATCATTTCACTATTATTTTTCAGAGGACACTTTGAGATTACTCTGTGGCCTAATCTGATTTAAATCTAAATAAAATTATGATTTAGCTATTCCCTTACAAATGAACTAATTGGTGTCTATTGTTATAGCAATAACTATTTATTTTCAATAACTGGTGTGACAGACTTTCAGTTTCTTTCAGCTGGTAATAGTTTAGGTGAACTAAACATCTCCCAGAAGCGCTCGGTAATCCACACGCGAGGAGCGGGACCACGGCAGTCCCTCGCTCAGCCAGGGCACTAGCCATCACAGGCCAGAAGCGGCACAGAACGTCACGCTTCACATTTCAAATGGGCACAACCATGAAATGCCTGCATATAGAGTGAAACACAACCTTAATCCTCTGTTTGACTCCTCTCAGGTTAAAGACATCCACATTCACAAAGAAATGTTCTCCATACAAAACGGATTGCTGACCCCCACTTTAAAAGCCAAGAGACCCGAGTTGAAGGAGTATTTCAAGATGGAAATCGAACAACTGTACAGCAACATCTCCATGTAATAGTTCCGTCACCAAAAGATGAGGACGTTTTATCGACATTGGCATTCCTTCACTATTTGTTCTTCCTCGCTCAAAACTAGCAGGCACTAAATGCTCCGAATGAGCCATGGGCGTCAAGACCACGCATGAGCTTACTCGCATTAAACGAGTAATTCCCCTTGGGCCGCTGGTGGCGAGCTGCGTCCAGATGGAGTCGTCCTCAGAAAGCAGAAGCAGATCCAGCTAGCATGCATGCTTGACTCCGAGGAGAGCAACTAGCCCAAAGTTCACCTCCATTCATGTTTCGTTTGTGGGTCCAAAGGGAACTCCAGTGGCACATTCCCAGCTAAAAGCCATGCATGCTGTGTTCCGGCGTTCCATGACTGACATTCCCAGGTCCTTACGGCATCAGAAGACATTTTACATGCACTCACCGTATGATGCTTGTCTATCCTACAAGAGAGGCTCGCTTGATCGAAGTGAGCATGCCATGCAATACCGCGCTGACCTGACGGACCGACTCGCTTTCAGTTCTTTTCCATCCCAAAGTATTTCAAAAGTAGCGTACATTTTGAAGAAACCTAGATGTGAAACTATTTAAGCAATGGTTTGAAGTGTAGAGAAACCAATAAGATTTGAATCTGCTCTTGAATGATATCAGAACTTTATCTTTGTATTTCACAAGGGGACTGGAATGGGGATGGGGTGACAAATATGAATCTGCAGAGATATTCATTTATTCTGGTTACTTTAGCTTAGGTTTTATGGCATTTAAACACAATGCATTTCACATTCCACCTTTCAGTCTGGCCTATATTGTGTTTTTTGTCTGTTTGTTAGAATGTTATTAGCTAATTTAATTATCAGGGTTACTCATTTATTTATTACTATCAGAGGTTATTCTAAAGGTTGCTCCATTTGGACGCCACTAAGCTCTGTATTTCTTACAAAAATCAAGCTGATAAGTCCACATTCCTGCTGATTCCAGCGGTCAGACTGAAGAACGACGACCAGTGTCTGTCTAAAGCAGTCAAAGTCTTTCAGTCAAACAGCTATTAGACATTTAACAGTCTGAACATGTGAGCCTTACACGTTTTATATTATGTTCAAATTTGGAGAATGGAAGACTTTTTTTGTTTTGTTCTTTGAAACGGTTCACCTGCATTTTCCCCCATAATAAAGTCTTTTATGCGCATGTACATCTCTGCATATACACAAACATAGTGATGATGAGTGTGTGCAAAAAATGTAAAAATAAAGAAGAATTCTTTGTAATTCTATTGGTTGTGGTGGTCTTTAAAGTACGTGAACCCTCATTTAAATCAGAGCAATATGACTTAAAGTATTGTTATACTTATAGTATAGTTCGATTATGGATTTAGTCCGACAGAATTTCTTGGGTTGTTTTGTCGAGGCCACAACATCTTTGAGCCTGAGGTTTGTTTTCCCTGATATTTGGCCATGTTTTAGTAAGAACATTTTATTTAAACCGCAAACTATCCAAAGTGCTGACCAAAGTTAAGATGACCTCAAATAAAACAAAAAACAGAAGCAAGATCATTTTAAAATGCCAGGGAGTAAAGATAAGTTTTCAATTTAGATTTAAAAATTGCAATTGAAGGTGCAGGCGGATGTCCAGAGGCGATCGGTCCCGTAGACGGGCGGCGACAGCAAAGGCTCCCTTAGTTTTAGACCGGAGCGAGGGATGGATAAAAGAGCTCTGTCTGAAGATCTTACAGATCCAGTGGATGACAGAGGAGTGAGAAGATCTCTGAGATATAATGGAGCTTGATCATTAAGAGCTTTAAAAACAAACAACAACATTTTAAACCGAATTCTAAAATGGATTGGGAGCCAATGAAGCAAAGCTAAAATAGGGGTGACATGCTCATATTTCTTTGCCTTGCAGGAGTTGAGCAAGCGATGATTGAGGAAGACCCAAATACAATGAATTACAGTAGTCCAAGCGTGAATGAATGAATGAATGAGGCATTTATATAGCGCTTTCATATGTACTACTGTACACCCAAAGCGCTTTACAATCATATCAGGGGTTGTCTCCTCAACCAGCACCAGTGTGAGCATCCACTGGGATGATGCGACGGCAGCCACAGTACAACGGCGCCAGTGCACTCACACACACAGTTGGAGAGGAGAGAGAGAGTGATAGAGCCAATTCAGTGGATGGGGATTATTAGGAGGCCATGATTGGCAGGGGCCAATGGGTGGAATGTGGCCAGGACACACACCGGGGTTACACCCCTACTCTTTACGAGAAGTGCCATGGGATTTTTAATGACCACAGAGAGTCAGGGCCTCGGTTTAACGTCTCATCCGAAGGATGATCCGAAGTCCAAGCTAATAAAAGCATGAATAACCTTCTCCAAGTTGAGTTTGGAAATTAACCGCAATTGATAAAAACTATACAACAGAATTCATTTGTTTGGATAAACATTCATGAGTCAAGAATGACACCAAGGTTCCTGACCTGAGAGGAAACTGAGGGGAAGTGGTTACCAATGGTTACACCCATGGGCGTCAGGTTGGTCTGAAATGTGCTGGGGACAGAGGCGCATTCGGAAGTGCATTTTCAAAAGTTTTTCTCTTTCACGCAGGTCATGTTTTGAAAGACGATGTTCTGTAGCTTAGGCCTACTGATGTAAATAAATAAAAATGTATACAAAGATGTGATGATGTCTGACCAAAAATGTGATGGGTGGGGGGGTTTAAATAGTAGGCTACTTTGGGTTTAATTGGTCGTACAATGAGATCTGATATGTTGTTAGTGTCATAAACACATAGATCAGCCTAGTGTACGTATGTACTGTAATGGTCCAGTGGAAGAATTATTGCCAAGCGAGTCGGAGGTTCTGGGTTCTAATCCGCACTCGAATAGCACTTGCACTGGAGGGGAATTTTTCCCCTCATAAAAAAACTATAATGTTTATCAGTGGTTGTATATCAAGCAGGGAGGCGTTTGTTAGCATTTTGTTTTGCGATTTCACCGGAACACAACAGAACACTGTATCCGCGCCACTGATCGCAGAGGCAACGAGCACATGATCACTTGATTAAAAAAACAAAACGTTTGTTATTTAACAAACGAACGAAACGAATGCTCAGCTAGTTAACTGGAGATGTTTTACTTGTATTGGTACATCCGTACCGCGAGATGTTTCAAAAGTGGTGGGGACACAATCGACCCTGGCAAATAGTGGTGGGGACATGTCCAGAAAGATAATTTTAAGGTTAATGGCATAAAAGTAAAGTCTGTCCCATTTCTCCCCCCTTAAAACTTCCACTTGGTTTTGAGTGCCCTCGACAGTAAAGTCCCTCAACGAGGGAAGTGGGGGTGAAGATCTTTCCCTATGAAATGGGACACCACTATATGCAAATTAGCGTAGCAAACGTGCTCACCTACGCCACGCGCAGTGTCGACGTTCTCCCAGTAGTAGGCTACTACTATTTTCATTCAGTCATTTTGCCATATTTTTGTGTGTTTTTGATCGTTTAGACGCACATGAAACCCAAAGTATGGTTTGCTTGTCTAGTTGCAGTCCGTTTCCGAGCGCGCGCCGCTATGGGAACAGGGGAACGTCTCTTGCGCGGATCATTGGGCTTTTAATAGCTCTTTTGAGATGACAGCGCGCTGTGAAGGGAAAGATGGTGCGCTAGACGAACGCGGCTAGTTGGTAGATTAACTCCCCAGATCAGATGTATATTTGATGGGCAGACTCTCTCGAAGCACTCGGCAGATATCATGAACATCGTCAGATAGCTTCGTGAAATATTTTGAAACATTAGTGTTCGAAACTCAACAGTCCATTGGATGTGCATCAAACTAACATATTCCAACATATTTCGAAATTTTAACATGCTTGTTTGCGAAAATATACTTAATTCAATTGTTCCTTTCCAGCGGTGTCCGCCATCTTGTTTGAAAAATTTGGTCGGTTCGCAAGGTATCCTGGGTAATTTCATCTCCCACTTCGTTTTAAGCCTGCATCGGACCTCACTATGTTGTGAGGGTTGATTTTAAGGGAAGAATAGCACTCCCCCTTGCTCCCTAAAGTTTTGGGACACCCTACCCCAACACGAGATCGTGCAAAAACGAGGGTTACGGCAAAAATCTAGGGGAAGGGGAGGTATTGGGACAGGCCCTTACTGTATGTGTTAAGTGTAACATTTGAGACAGGCAAAGAAGCAAGCTTGGAAGAGGATCCACGTGCAGGGTTAGATTTATTAAAGGCCGAACACAAAGTAACTGATGAAAACACTAAACCAGGGAATGTCCACTGAAGACTGACAGCTTAACGAGATAACAAGGGGGCGTGGCTAATAAGAAACAGAGGAGAAACACTAGAGAGACTAATCAACATTAAACCTACAGAGAACTGCAAACCATGGAGCAAGACAGGAAATAACATAAAGTCCAGGAACACACAAGACAGGGGAACACAGGTTGGAATCATATCATTAAGCATTAGTTGGAGATTGTTTGTGTGAAGGAGAACGGCTGTATAAAGCATGATTTGAATCAACATTTCACAGTCGTGCTGATACTCAGAACAACAGCACTATTGTGAGTCTGTGTTATATCATGAGCAGATTTCTTAGATCACTTTTAGGCTGATTTGTGTTTTGGTCCTGTGGTGGCAATTTTTTCTTTACTGAATAAGAGACAAACATGTACCAATAGCCTTTAAAGATGATTTATTCCCTTGCAAGGAAAGGTCAACAGTCATCTTCCTTCTTTATAGTTGTTCCTCCCCCAAGGTCGTTTCCAGAGGCTAAATGAAGATATCTCTCAGCCAAATCTAATACATTGTTTAGATTTGTCTATCATATTAATCATATTATATCCTTGAATGGAGACCCTCTGTCTCGGCCATACACTTAGTCACACATTAACTTTTGTCAGGTCATATACAAGGACATACACATACATATATTCATAAGGATATGTATCGACACTACATTAATTTAATTACCATCATATTTCTAAGATTCTATAAATATAATTAAATGCAAACATATAGAACATATTAAATTGCTTCCACAGTCCCAACAAGATTAAGATTAAGAAATACTTGAATATTACAGACATCTATAGATCTACTGTTTAAAGGTTTGGTTAAAAAATTTATAGTTTCCACAAAAATAGGTAGCAGCACAACTGTTTTCAACACTGATAATAGAGACGCAGTCAAACCACTGGTAAGAAATAAATGTAAAGCAGCTTCCTGGTTCAAAGATAAAGAATGATCTATTTTTGTGGATTGAAACGGGTTGAGCCTAGCCTGGATGCCAGCCCGAACCCCGTCCACAACATGTTTTGGTCGGGAAGTTCGGTCTGGACTCGATCCATTGAGGGGTAATTATGATCGGTTCAGAATTAGTCGAGCCAATCAAATTGC